GCAGTCCTGAGGTCCTTCAGGAAGGGCACGGCCACGGGCTTCGAGGCGATCAAGCCGAGGCAGCTGCTGGAGCTCAGCGACGAGGGGATAGAGACCCTCATCGACATCGTGGTGGCGGTCGAGCAGGCCGCGGAGTGGCCGCAGATCCAGAGCAAGATCGTGTTCTTGGCCAAGAGGCTGGGCGGCGTGCGCCCCGTGGCCATCGCGCACGTCCTCGCGAGGGTGCAGACGAGGTTGCGAAAGCCCCTGGCGGAGGAGTGGGAGCGCAGGAATGATCGGCCGTTCTTCTGGGCGGCGCGCGGCAGAGGCTGCGAGAGGGCAGTTTGGCAGCAGGCCGTGGAGTGCGAGTGGGCGACAGCGAAGGGGCGTGAAGCTGGCGATGCATCCAGCTGGGTCGCGGCCCTCATCCTCCTGGACCTGCTCAAGGCGTACGAGCAGGTGCAGCATGGGCGCCTCATCCAGGCCGCCCAGCGGACGGGCTTCCCGCTCTGGCAGCTCAAGCTGCAGGTGAGTTTGTACAGAGCGCCCAGGTGGCTGGCGCGGGACGAAGCCGTCAGCAACGCCATCTGCACCGAGCAGGCGGTGCTGCCTGGAGACGGGCTGGCGACGCTCATGCTCAAGATGCTGCTGCTGGAGCCGCTGGACAAGCTTCAGGAGCTGGTGCCCACGCTGGCGATGTCGGTGGTCGTGGATGACATCATTTTGAAGAGGGTGGGCGGCTTCCAGCGGACAGTCAATGACCTCACGCTGGCGGCCAGGCATCTCAAGGTGTTGCTCGGCGAGGCCGACTTAGAGATCGCGGTGAAGAAATCCAGGGCGCTAGCGAATGTGCCAGCAGCGAGGCAGGAGCTCGAGAAGCGCCTGATGAAGCCGCTGGGGGTGCGCGCCACGGGGCAGGAGAGGAACTTGGGGGTCGACTTCAGTGGGGGCAAGAGGATAGGACGGGCTGTTCGTCACGACAGGATGGCGCAGGCGAGAGGCAGGCTGCGCAGGATCAAAGTGCTGCAGGTGGTCAAGGCCAAGCGGAAGGCCACCAAGAGGATCGTGAAGACGGGGCTGCACCCGTGCATCGGGTACGGCACGGCCATCACGGGCTGCACGGAAGGGGAGCTGGACCGCGCCAGGACCCTCACGTTCGTCGCGGTCTCCAACACCACGGCGAGCAAGTCCAGGTCGCTCGGGCTCATGCTCCAGGCTGGCCTCGACCCGATCTACGACGCGACCTGCAAGCCGGTGCTGATGTTGCTGCGTGCGGTCTGGGAGCAGTGGGTGCCGCTGCACATGGTGTGGCAGGGCCTCGAGGACAAGCGGCCCGTGTCCTGGGTGCACGTGCAGGGCCCGTGCGCGGCGACGGTGCTCTCCCTCAGGAGGATCGGCTGGGACGTCGTCGCCGCCAACCGCTGGGTCATGGACGACGGCGTGGCCATCGCGCCCTTCGACTGTGCGCCGTGGGTCGTGGCCAAGCTGATGAGGAGAGCAGTGCAGCGCTGGCAGTGGAGGCAGGTCAGCAAAGCCCCAGGTTGCGCGCACTTGGCTGGTGGCGGCGAGCTGGAGCCCCTGGTCAGGCTCACCTCCTCTGGCTGCGCCAGGAAAGCCGACGAGCCACGCCGTGAGGAGGGAGCACCTCGCACCAGGGTTCGGTTGACGGCGCGAGAGCAGGCCTACCTGAGGTCCCTCATCATCGACGGGCAGTGGACTCAGGCGCGCAAGGAGGAGAAGGGGCTGGCGCCCAGTGCTGGGTGCTTGAGGTGTGGCGCCAGAGGCACGCTGATGCACAGGCACTTCGACTGCCCGTGCTGGAGTGAGGTGCTGACGATCCCAGAGGACTTGGCAGTTCTTCGAAGGCAGAGCGGGAGGCCTGAGGTGCAGCTGCTGCTGGAAAGGTGCCTGTGGCCGACACCACGGGGCATCCGCCGCCCGCCAGCGTGCAGCGACGTGTGCTGGAAGGGCGACCACGAAGGAGGCACCCTTCCTGAAGGCGAGCTGTTTCTCGACGGCTCGGCGCTCGAGGCGGACTACGAGGAGGTGGCGGCAGTTGGCTGGAGTGTGGTGGCGCTGCAGGCGCACAGCGACGGCTACAGGGCCTCCATCGCTGGCCAGATGGAGGGCCACTGCGTGGACATCAACGGCGGGGAGCTCACGGCGGTGATCATGGCGCTCAGGTTTGGCCAAGGTGTCACAGTGCTGGTGGTCGACTCCAAGTACGTGTACGACGGCTTCTACAAGGTCGGCAGGGTAGGCACCACGGGCTACGCGTACACCTGGGCGCACCTGTGGCGGCGAGCCTGGGACCTGCTGGACGAGCGAGGAGGTCTTGGGCATGAGGTTAGCCTCAGGTGGATGCCCAGCCACAGTACGCGGCGGCAGGTGGCGGCAGGCGAGGTGCTGTACAGAGATTGGTACGGCAACCGACTGGCTGACAGGGCGGCAAAGGCTGCGGCGGCCAGTGGGCGCCTTCCCGCGCGGGACAGAGAGCGCCTGGAGAGGAGCCGAGACGTGGTTGAACGAGCAGCCATGTGGTGCGCGGCTGTCGGCAGCTGGGTCGACGGCAGCGACACCACGCACGACAAGACGAAGGTGCAGCGAGCCCTGCCAGTGCGCAAGGAGCCAGCGGCGAGGATGGCCTGCGTCTGGCGGAGGCTGCCTGGCCAGCGTCCCTGGTGCGAGGTTTGCAGATGGTCAGGCAGATCAGGTGAGTGCCCTGGCAGCATCGTCGCCGAGGCGATCAGGGCCAACGACAGGCTGAAGGCCCAGCAGAGGGCGGCGCATGACCTGGTGCTCCTTGCGCCTGTGGATTGGAGGCTGCTGGTGCGCAGGATGCCGCTGGTCGCTTGCAGGGCGTGCGGCTTCACAGGCGCGGCCAGAGCGAGCTCCTTCCACCTAGAGTGCAGGAGTGTCCCGTCGGCTGCAGGTGCCGCCGCAGTCGCGAGGCTGAGGAAGGGGCTGGCTCCGAAGGTGGTCAGAGAGGTGGCAGTCAACATCACGGTGCTGGCGGATGACGTGCAGGAGAGGAGAGGTCAGTCGCCGCGGGACATCGCGGAGGAGGAGGACGGCCACCCCTTGAGGCCGCCAGGAGGTGCTCCAGGTGGTGGGGCAGGGGAGGACGCGGGCCCACGGCGTCCCCCGACCCCTGAGGGCTCCAGAGCGACGGCTGGCCTGGGAGGACGTGCTGGCAGCAGGTGTGCAGCCGCGGCGCACCAGGCCGAGGCAGGAGACGAAGCAGGGCCTGCGGGCGGCGGCGGAGGGCCACGCCCGCGGCGCCGCGCGCGTGTGCGCAGCAGATCGCTGAGGCAAGCCGCGCTGACGCCGCCCTCGAGGTCGCCGATGCGGGCGGCCAAGGTGGCCAAGCTGTAGCAGGAGGAGAGCCAGCGGACTGAGGCGGGCCCTGCAGAGGGAGGAGACGAGGTGGCCACAGGAGGCAGCGGCGGCAGACCGCCCCCGCCGAGGATGGCGGACGACGCGCAGGAGGTGAGAGGCCAGTCGCCGCAGGCGCAGGGCGTCGCGGGGGAGGAGGACGGCCACGCCTTGCGCAAGCCAGAAGGAGCTCCAGGGGGCAGGGAGGACGCGAGCCTCCTGCGGCCCCTGACCCCGAGGGCCACCGAGGTGCGGCTGGCAGGAGAGGGCGAGCTGGCGGAGGGCGTGCAGCCGCGGCGCGCCAGGATGCCGCAAGAGGCAAGGCAGGGCCCGCGGGCGGCGGCGGCGGGCCAGGCCCGCGGCGCCGCGCGGGTGTGTGCAGCAGCTCGCCGAGGCAGGCCGCTCCGACGCCGCCCTCGCTGGCGCCGAAGACGGCGGCCGAGGTGGCCAGGCTACAGGAGGGCAGCCAGCGACCTGAGACGGGCCCTGCCGAAAGAGGAGACGAGGTGGCTGCAGGTGGCAGCGGCGGCGGACCGCCCCAGCCACGCGAGGCCAGCGGAGACCAGGTGCTGGCGGACGACGTGGAGGACCACAGCGCCGCGGCTGGCCCGAGCGGGCAAGCTGGCGGCAGGTGTGCAGCCGTGGCGCGCCATGCCGCGGCACGAGGAGAGGCAGGGGCTGCGGGCGGCGGCGGAGGGCCAGGACTGCGGCGCCGTGCGCGAGTGCGCAGCAGCTCACCGAGGCTGGCCGAGCTGACGCCGCCCTCGCAGTCGCCGAGGCGTGTGGCCAAGGTGGCCAAGCAGCAGGACGAGTGCCAGCGGCCTGTGGCGGGCCCTGCACAGAGAGGAGACGAGGTGGCTGCAGGTGGCAGTGACGGCGGACCGCCCCCGCCGCGCGAGGCCACAGAGGTCAGGCCGCAGGAGGAGGTCCAGCCGCCCGCAGGGGAACCTGCTGCTCGATGCGAAGCAGGGGCTGCGGGCGGCGACGACGTGGCCATGGAAGGCGAGTTGCTGGAGGAGAGGCTGCCGCCCGCAGGTGACTCTGCTGCTCGATGCGGAGCAGGGGCTGCGGGCGGCGAAGGCGGCTGGCCGAGGCCGAGGTGCGGCGCGCGGGAGCGCAGCAGCTCGCCAAGCTTCGCAGCCAAGGTGGCGAGGCTGCTGCGGGCCGCGCGGGGTGAGGCCTGGCCGACAGCCTCGGGCGCGTAGCTGCGCCGAGGCGCGGGCGCGCGTGGGGCGCGCGCATCGCAGGGGTGGCCGTGGCTCGACGCGGTCCGCCTCACCCCGCGGGCATCCTCCTCCTCCTCCTCCTCCTCCTCCCTCCCTCCTCCTCCTCCTCCTCCTCCTCCTCCTCCTCCTCCTCCTCCTCCTCCTCCTCCTCCTCCTCTCCTCCTCCTCCTCCTCCTCCTCCTCCTCCTCCTCCCTCTCCTTTTCCGCAGGCCTCCAGGATTTCACTCCCATGGTCCGCGCCCCCTTGTGCATCGCAGCCCTTCCGTGGTCCCTTGCGATTGCGTAGGTGTTCGTGATCGTTTTGCAGGGCGTGATCGATTTATCATTGCTCCATCTTGCTGCCTTGATTCGTCAGGCCTAGCCTCATTTCTTCCCGCCCTCATGCGCACCGTATCATTACAATCCTCCGTGCAATTACAGGAAGTGGACCGCATCATGGCCAATTGGTATGGCGATGCATTCAGAAGGACCGCATGGGCAAACACCAAATGGCGAGAACCGCGGACCTTTGCGAGAGAGGGAAAGGAAGAGAGAGAGAGAGAGAGAGAGCGAGAACGTGGGAGAGAGAGAGAGAGAGAGAGAGAGAAAGAAGCAGCGAGAAGCAGAAAAAAACATACATATATATATATATAGAGAGAGAGAGAGAGAGAGAGTGAGGGAGAGAGAGACAGAGAGCGAGAGAGAGAGAGAGAAGGCTCTGTCGCGACCACCCGCCCGTGTGGAAGCAGCCTGTGGCGAACCGCCGGCGCCCCCCCTGCCCGTGGGCAACGCCCGCGTGGTGAACTTCGGCCGCGCGCCCGGCGGGGAAGGCACAGAGCGCGGGCCTTCGCAGAAGGCGTCGACGGCCTCTCGGGCCTCCGGAGAAGTACGACGGGCGTCCGAGAAGCCGCGCCCGCCTTCTCAGCAGGCCTGCCCCCTCGCAATCGCCCCCGCTTCGGGCGCGTCGCGGAGGCATGTCCGGCGGCGGCGTGGCCATGCTGGTGAATCTCGTCAGGGAGGGCAGGCCGAACATCAGGAAGGGAAAAAACACACAGACACAATATATCGTCGATTCCCTAGAAGATATGGGAAAATATGGGAAGTGGAGGGGAAGACAACAACCCAGAAAATATGGGGAAATGCTGGTGAATTTCGTCAGGGAGTGGAGGCCGAACATTAGGAAGGGAAAAAACACACAGACACAATTCATCGTCGATTCCCTAGAAGATATTGGGAAAATATGGGAAGTGGGGGGGGGAAGACAACAAGCCAGAAAATAGGGGGAATCCTGTGATGTGTGTGTATTTGTTTGTGTGTCCCAGGGCCCCTTCAGAACAGCCATTCATTGTCCCTGGGTGCGTGGCCAGATTGAGATTATGCGGCGCGGCTTGTGTTTGATGCTGTTGTTGAGTGTTCAATTCTTACTGAGAACTACTGCGGATCCCCTCCCGTCTGGTGCACCGTGTGTTTTTCAGTTGAAGTGCCCCTCCCCGACTCTTCAAATTTTCGCACCCATGACATGACGGACAGTTCGGACGCCCTCAGGTACCGAACGAAGCTCTTTTGGGCCTGAATATTTCAGCTGCCAGCTGCTCGCTGATGGGGCTCAGGGCGCCACATGTCGAATGTATACCCTTCTTGGTTGTGTGTTTGAGTTTGAGGGGCCTCTTGCCAGATCCCCAGTGTTTTGTTTGCCTAATCAGTGCTGGTTCGTCTGCGTCCAGGACGGGTGATCTCACATCAGCACATCTTGCTTGGTATCAGGCCGCGTGAGGTGTACGCTCAAGAGAATGTGCTCAAGCGGACGGGGCCTAGGCTATGTCAGCTCTCGACGTTCATCGGTCGTCTAATAAATTGAATCGCCGATGACGGTGATTATGATGATATGTTCTGGATAGCAACACCGTCCCTCCAAGTGGCCTGGACTACTTGCTGTCGCTCTCCGTCGTCCACTCTGCCTGATTATCTCTTTGCCGGTCTATAGTGGCCTTTGCTTCCCCGCTTCGCCCTTCCGCCTCTTTCTGAATCTGCCTTACTTCTCTTCTAACTAGCTGCCGCGGTGTCCGGCGTCACGCTGCCGATCGCATAGTTCCCAACCAACCTGTGTTGTTGGGTCCTCGTTTTGAAGAGACGGTCCACGCGTTCTCCTCCTCTCCTCTCCTCTCCTCTCCTCTCCTCTCCTCTCCTCTCATCTCCTCCTCTCCTCTCCTCTCCTCTCCTCTCCTCTCCTCTCTCCTCTCCTCCTCTCCTCTCTCTCCTCTCCTCTCCTCTCCTCTCCTCTCCTCTCCTCCTCCTCATCCTCCTCCTCCCTCCTCCCCCTCTTCCTTGCATTTCACCCACCCAGTACAGCGTTTCGTAGCCCCATAGGGAGCTCCACCGAAGGCCCCAGTGCCACCGTCCACATGCGCCCCCCCCACTCAGTACAGCGCTTCGTGGCCCCATAGGGAGCTCCACCGAAGGCCCCAGTGCCACCGTCCACATGCGTCCCCCCCACTCAGTGCAGCGCTTCGTGGCCTCATAGGGAGCTCCTCCGAAGGTCCCAGTGCCATCGTCCACATGCGTCCCCCCCCATTCAGTACAGCGTTTCGTTGTCCCATAGGGAGCTCCACCGAAGGCCCCAGTGCCACCGTCCACATGCGTCTCCTCCCACTCAGCGCAGCGCTTCGTGGCCCCATAGGGAGCTCCACCGAAGGCCCCAGTGCCACCGTCCACATGCGCCCCCCAAACTCAATAAAGCGTTTCGTGGCCCCATAGGGAGCTCCACCGAAGGCCCCAGTGCCACCGTCCACATGCGTCCCCCCCACTCAGTGCAGCGATTTGTGGCCTCATAGGGAGCTCCTCCGAAGGTCCCAGTGACACCGTCCACATGCGTCCCCCCATTCAGTGCAGCGTTTCGTGGCCCCACAGGGAGCTCCACCGAAGGCCCCAGTGCCACCGTCCACATGCGTCCCGCACACCCAATGTTGCATTTTCACACGCCCAGTGCAGCGTTTCGTGGCTCCACAGGGAGCTCCACCGAAGGCCCCAGTGGGACCGTCCGCAAGCGTCCCGAAACACCCATTGTGGCATTTTCACCCACCCAGTCCGGAATTTCGTGGCCCCGTAGGGAACTCCACCGGAAGGCCCCAGTGCCACCGTCCGCATGCGTCCCGAAAACCCAACGTGGCATTTTTACCCACCCATTACAGCGTTTCGTGGCTCTTTAGTGAGCTCCACCGAAGACCCCAGTGGGATCGTCCGCATGCGTCCGGGAAGACCAATTTGGCATTTACACTTACCCAGTACAGCGTTTCGTGGCCCCATAGGGAGCTCCACCGAAGCCCCCAGTGGGACTGTCCGCATGCGTCCCGGAAAGATTACTTGAAACACCACTCACCCAGAACAGCGTTCCTCCCCACCCAGTGAAGCGCTTCGTGGCCCCATAGGGAGTTTCACCGAAGACGATTTTCACAATTGCGGTACCCACAACTGCATATGGTTGGGTCTTTCGCCAGGATAATTGTTTTCGGAATGTCGGGGTTGCCTGCCAGGAAAATGGACAACGAGTACAAGGAGGTGGCGAAGTCTATGAAGGCTCGCCGATCACACCTGGTCTGTGGCGGGGGTATGGGGCAGGCGTCTCTACAGTGATGAGGGGAGCCAGGTGTAGCGAAGTATGTGGATTCGGGAGCCTCTGGTCCGTCTGAAGCGCGGACGCAGTATCTAGCTCCCTGCGACACGAAACTCCCCCGTGCTGGCGCAGCACTCTGCGCGGTGACGCTGCGAGCACCGCCCAGCAGGCCGTCACCCGTGACACCCCTCGTGGCTCTCACGCGTGCTACCTGGGCCGTCCCGGGGCTGTTTTTGGCTACCGTGGGGCCTTCGTCCGAGGCCCTCCCGGAACCATCTTGGGAAGGGAGAGGTCCGGGAAACGCAGCATGCCCAAGCAGCCCGCACTGCCTTGGAATAGCGAGGAGGCGGCGGCACGGGCGAAGCAGGCGCAAAGGGCCGGGAGGGTAGGAGGGAGGAAGGGAGCGTGCAGCAATCGGCTACACGTAGGAGTGCCCTTTCGCCGGAGTGACCCTTGGTGCGGGAGCACTGGGGCTCCCAGATTATTGAGTGCGATGCCAAGGAAGATGCTTGGGCGATCCGTTTCGGCCTCCCCGCGGCCCCCGAAAAAAGCGCTCCTAAGGTCACTCCTGCCTAGGGCCATTCTTACGTGTAGCCGATGGCAGCTTCGGCACGATCGAAATGCGTACGGGAAGAATGGGTACGAAGACCGACAGCAGTTCCTGCCCATGTTGAGCAGGGTTGCCCGTTTGAGACAGAAGGCCGCCTGCCGAACTGCGGCCGCTGTCTGTTGTTATCGTGCCCATTATTTCCGTAATCGTTGTGGACATCCAGGAAGGGGGAAGGGCGAGAGGCAGGCGTCGGGCGTGTTCTTTCTTCCGCCAGCGCGCCCCGCCCAGATAACGCGGACTGTCGGCGAAACTCTTGGGCCTGGCAGGGACATCCAGAGGGAACGGCAGGCAGAGGGAGCGCTCGACCGGGCCGTCAGGGAGCGGCCCAAGGGCTTCGCTGGGGGCTGGGGGGGGGGTGCATCCGAGGGGGCTCCCGTGTAGGATGCGTAAGTATAGCAGAAGGATGCGATAGGGGACTTTCGCTAAGGAGCGTTCTCAGGAGACTACAGACCGTGAGGGATCTGGTGAGAGGGGCGGTGGAATTCATGGCCAAGCCTCAAGTGGCTTCCCACCCGCTTCCAGACCTTAGAATCCTTATCTAAGGGTTCCTTATCCACTACCCTCACCGTGTGTGTATACATGTTCCGAGTGCAGTTCTCCAGCGCTGCTAAACCTGTGCTGATTGATTTGATGTCCAGATGCGTGTTCCTCAACACGTTGCCTCACCGCAGGCCGTGGCCACCCCATCGGCGGCCCCCCACTTATTTTTTTCACGTGGCAGCGCTTCGCTAGAGGATTCTACAAGATTACCATCCTCGAACGTATCCCTATCCCTAAGATTGACACGCCAAAAGGCAATGACAATCTTAGGGGTTCGCCCTCAAAAAATAAGGGAATCCCTAAGATTGGCATCGTGGTAAGGAGGTGCGCAGCATAGGGATAGGGATATGTTCCAGGCTGGTAACAGGAGGTCAAGGAGTCCTCTCACCAGGACTTCCGAAGGAGAGCCAGGGAGGAGGCGTCTCACCGGTCCAGCGGCGGCACACCGCGGTCCGGAATCGACCCACCATTTGCTCGACTCGGTCCAGAAATGATGCCCACCAATTCACCAGCCTCGAACTTATCCCTATCCAAAAGATTGACACGCTAAAAGGAGATGACAATCTTAGGGATACACTCTCAGAAACTGAGGAAGCCCCTGAGTTTGGCATCGTGATGAGGAGGTGCCCAGCATAGGGATAGGGATAGGGAATCGACCCACCATTTGCTCGACTCGGTCCAGAAATTATGCCCACTATTTGCTCACTCACTATTTGCTCACTATTTGCTCGGCTTGGCCCAGAAAAGAAACTCGCTGCTGCGTTCTGGCTCGGTTTTTGTTCCGCCCTTCTCTCCACGGGGGAGGCCAGGGGGAGGCGTCTCGTTGGTCCAGCGGTGGTCTGGAATCTGTTCATCGTGGCTCGATTTCAGCGTCCGCAGATCCAGAACTCGTTTTGGTGTTTTGGCTCGATCTAGCTCAGAAGTAAGACTCGCTTAAGCGTTCTGGCTCGACACCGGCCCTCCCAGATCTAGAAATCAGATTCACGATGGTCGGTTTGGCCCAGGAGTGGAACTCATTATTCTGATCTGGCGAGATTTCAAGTCGAAGAATTCTTTCAGTTGGGTCTACATAGGAGGGGCCGAGTTTCCTGGCTCAGTTTCAGCCGTCGCAGATCCAGACATGAGACTTGATGTTGTGTATTGGTTCGATTTTTCTCGGAAAGGCATATCCTGTTTTGTGTATCGTTTTTTTGTTCACCCCGTCTAGATCCATAATTCGGAGTCGCGGTGGCTCTCTGGCTCGATCTGACTCAGAAATGGAATTCATCATTATCTTCTCATTCGATTTCAATTCAACTGATCTTGTCACCAGAATCTCCACGGGAGGGTCGAATGTTCTGGCTCGATTTCAGCCTTAGCAGATCCAGAAATCAGACACGATGGCGTTCCAGCTCGATTTCGGCGGTCGCATGTCAAGAATTCATGCCAGGGGCATCAGATTCTCACCATTCCAGCTGTCCTAGGTTCAAAAAATGTGGCAGGGCCATCGGCGTCTCACCATGCCAATTGTCACGAGTGGGGCCGCTCGGTCCCGAATACTGTTCCAATCGCGTTCATGTCGCCATGCTGACATCACGAACGTCACCTTCATCAGCACGCTCAACTCCGTAATCATACTGACGCTATGATGAGGGCATTTTCGAAAGCAGATTTTTCAGGCGTTCATCCGTCTCCACACCTTAGCTGCTATTGGGGTGCTTTGCTGGGTTAGTTTATGCGCTTGGGCACGCATGTGCCACTTGTAATTCCCTTGCTGTCCTCCCCTCCTCCGCGGCGAAGCCGGCTCCCCAGACATCCGGCGCTGTGGAGAATTTTCTTCGCATGCCCCCCCCGCCCCCCGCAACCCACCCCGCCCCTCAGCGGAGTCCTTGGGCCCTCCCAGGCGGCCCAGTCGAGCACTCCCTCATCTTACCGAGCCTTCTGGAGCTCCTTGCAGGCCTTAGGAGATTCGCTGACAACCAGGGTTAGCTGGTTAGCTGGGAGGGGCGCGCAGGTGGAATGAAAAACGCGCCCGACCCACATTTCTAGCGCTCTAATTCCTTCTAACCTAGCGTGGGGTTCTTGTTATCAGAGTGAGGGGGCCGGACAGTCATTCATTGTCCTTGGGCGCGTGGTTGAATAGGGAATTTGTGGTGGGGACTCTGCTTGTTGCGTTGAATTCTCATGTCTGAGAAATAATTCTTGCTGATCCCCCCTCACCAGTGCATGCTGTTTTTTCTCATATCAAAGTGTGCCCCTCGACGCTCGCACCCTGTTTTCTGACAGGGAAAATCTTGATGCTCGAACTGTGCCCCTGGCCCCGGGGTTACAACAACAACGGCTCCCGCCTAAGACTTCCTCACAATTTAGCCAGGACCCCCGCTCCCGCCCGAGACTTCCTTGCATTTGATTCAGGATTCGCGCTCTCGCTTGGGACTTCTTTTCAATTTATTTAGGAATTGCTCCCCTGGCGCTCTGGAGTCGCGCTCTCGCTGGAGACGTGCTTGCAAGTTACTGAGGAATAGCGCCCTTACGTTGGAATTCCCTGCAACTAACTTAAGCGCCGCGCTCCCGACACCCAGGCACCCAGGAGTCGCGCTCACGCTTAGGACTCCCTCGCAGATGACCTAGGAATCGGGATCTCGCTGCCCTTCGTGGCCCCCGTTGCAGCCCTTCGTGGCCCCCTCACTTTGTTTCGTGGCCCCGATGCAGCCCTTCGTGGCACCCTCTCTTTGTTTCGTGGCCCCGTTGCAGCCCCTCGTGGCCTCCTCGCTGCTCTTCGCGGCCCCGTTGCAGCCCTTCGTGGTCCCCTCGCTTTGTTTCGTGGCCCCGTTGCAGCCTTTCGTGGCCCCCTCGCTGCCCTTCGTGGCTCCGTTTTAGCCCTTCGTGGCCCCATTGCAGTCCTTCGTTGCCCCCTCGCTGCCCTTCGTGGCCCCGTTGCAGCCCTTCGTGGCCACCTCGCTGCCCTTCGTGGCCCCATATATGTATGCCCTTCGTGGCCCCCGTTTGTTCGCGCCCGTGGTGGCCCCATATGCATGCCCTTCGTGGCCCCGCTGTCGCCCTTCGTGGCCCCCTCGCTGCCCTTCGTGTCCCCGTTGCTGCCCTCAGTGGCCCCGTCGTTGCCCTCCGTGGCCCAACATACGTATGCCCCTCGTGGCCCCCGCTCGTTCGCGCCCGTCGTGGCCCCATGTGCATGCACTTCGTGGCCCCGCCGTCGCCGTTTGTGGCCCCCTCACCGTCCTACGTGGCCCAGTTGCTACCGTCAGTGGCCCCATCGTTGCCTTCTGTGGCCCCGCATTATCCGCCCTTCGTGGCCCCCGTTCGTTCGCGCTCTTCGTGGCCCCATGCGCATTCCCTTCGTGTCCCCGCTGTCGCCCTTCGTGGCATACTTCGTGTCCTTCGTGGCCCTGCTGTCGTTCTCTCTCGCTCTCGCTTTCGCTCGTCGTCGTCGTCGCCGTCGTCGTCGTCGTCGTGGTCGGTCCCCTGTCCGTCCTTCTTGGGGTCGGGTCGACGGTCCGCGGCCGCCCCGCCGATCAGCGCTGCCGCTGGCCAGGCCGACGGTCCGCGGCCGCCCCGCCGCTTGCCGAGGCCCGGCCTGCAGGGAAGAAAGGTATACCCCCCAAAGGGGTTCGATCGAAGACGAAGAGGGCGGGTATCGAGGGTTTGGGAAATACGCGTTCTTGGACAATCGAGCAGATGAGGGCGAACAGTCTTAAAATGATTGTTGTTGTTGCTGCTGTTGTTTTGTTGTTGCTGATGTTGTTGTTGTTGGTTGTCGTCGCCCCACCCGCGACCCACCCGCGACCCACCCCGCGACCCAACCCGTGACCCACC